AATTGATACTGCAGTTACGTTAAATTTCAAACCCAGGAATTTTTTCTGCTATCAAGTCGTGTTTCACGTGCTGTATGGCAAATGGCGCCATCCTGTTGGAAAAACATATTTTTCAGATCCATATATATGGATCTCGATATCCTTCAATCGAGGAGAAAAGAAATCCCGTATCATCGTTCGGTACCTTTCTCCGTCAATGCTCTCAGAGCATTGCTCTGCCTTGCTCATCTTTAAAGTTCCGCTTATTAACAAAGCCGTTTAACCAAAAATGATCCAGAGCCCAATTAGAAAAACATCGACGCAAATTTGCGTAAGGTGATCGTTTGGCTTGAGCTCTTGGGTCAACTGAATCTTATAGGGGTGTAATCCCAAGTAATTGCGCAAGATTTGCCAAACTGAGGACTAAGAAAGGCCAATTTCTTGCGAACGTCGAGGAATTTAGAGTTTAGGATTCTCATGCACACTTTATCAAACATCAGCAACCGAGGCAGCAACAGACCGAGCGTTACGACGACGCACAGGTGTTAGGAGATTCGGAATCTCAGATTTCTAACAGAGCCGGTTGTCTCAAATTTTGTCAAAATTCGTCTAATGATGGCTTCTTTTGGTCGATGATGAATATCATAAAATACGCAAACGCACGGAAAGTTTGTCGCGGGGAATAATTTTGATATTAAATTTGATTTATCTGGTTCGGTTCCAGCGCTCGAGAAGACGCGTCGCGTCACGCGACTCGCGTGCGGGAGAGCTCTTGAAACGTAAAAGTTTAAAGATGAAACCAACAACAATTAAAAAAAAAAAGGGGTGCGAACTGATAAGTGAAACAAACATTTTCATGGAGTGCAAGCTAAAATGGTGTAACGGTCATTGAGGAGTGGAGTGTTGGGTGATATGAATGACTTGGGTGCCACCTGTCATTGTAGGCTTTTCACAGGACGGACGGGGGAGGTCGGAGAAGAGGGGAGGTAGCCATCCGCAAGGGGAAAAATCTGATAAGTTTTACTTTAAGAGTATGCATGACCTGATACAAATCTGCAATATAAATACGGCAGATCCCAGCAAGCATTTTTCGTTATTTGTCTCCATTAAAATAACTTTAAAATATGATTATGTTAAGAACATATTTTACTCTTTAAACAATTGTTTTGTTTTTAATTACTATCATTGCAAAATTGTATTAAAAAGTGTTAAAAATTCTTACATGGGCAATGTTAATGGTGATAGGTATCGTTAAAGTGTTTATTGGGATATCTTTAAAACCTATGAAGGGCACGCGGCGTGGGGCAATAAGTCTGTCAACAGCAAATGCGTAAGGCGGTCCCAATCGAGACCGAAAATAAACACTGGACTGACAGAGTAAACTAACATTGATCACATAATTCTAACACATTAAAAAAAAAGGGCCTAATAGCCAAACTCGAGATTTGTAAACATTAGACAACAGAATAATCGCGCTTGTGATTTGTTTGACTAGTGAATAAATGCAATGCTTTGGAATTTGATAAACAAAGACGGAACTCTACCACAAAACGTGCTTGGGACAAAAATTATTAAAAACAACTGACACACTTTACCAAGGGCAGGAACTATCTGACCAGGACACGGACAATGACAATAACGAACAAGACAAAGACCTCGACCAGGAAACTACACCCCTGCAGCGAAATAACAACTCCCCAACTCCAAATAGTAATCCCAAATGTTTGGAGTAATACTAATCGACTGGTCTAGGGGGATTCCGCGTCGTACTTAGTTTTAAGTCGGCGTAATTGTCCCCCAAAAACCAACTCCCTCCCGTTCCTCATCCACACCCCACCGAGCGTATAGCATAGGCTCGGCGAACCCGGGAATGGCTATTATAACTATTCGCCTCTCGCTCTCGAGCCCCAAATAGGGGACAGTACGGAACGCAATGGACATTCGCACCCAGCAAACACGGGTGAAGCCGTGCAGTTGCTGGGGAAGAACAAAAATCGGCGTAAGTAAACATAGGCCTGTACGGGGTTCGAGAGTCAAGAGGAAATGGGGCTGGTTATACGTCTCTTATACTCATACTCAAATTTGATTTATCTGGATTCTTTGAGTATCTCTCCATTATAAAATGAGAATGTAGAATACGTACGTAAAAAAAAGGCAGAAGGATCTTTTAAAATAACAACGTTAATCAAAGATACATCACTCTTAATAAAGAGCCGTTTATAAATAAAATGGTTAAAAAGTTGTTCAACAGTAACTGTTGTATTGTATTAATACAAAACAATTTCAATTGGTAAATAATTTTGAAATTATTAAACTAAAATTTCAATCGGTTTTAATCGGCGTTGTATACATAATATAATATATTAATGATTTCAATTAGGTAGGTAGTTCAATTTTCTTAATTTCAATTGGGCTGAATTGGAAAATAATTTTGAAATTATAAAACGATTTTAATTGGTTTAAATAGGCTTTTAATTTCCTTAATTTCAGTTGGATTAAATTAAAAAATAATTTTGAAATCATTGAACTAAAATTTCTATAAATTTCAATTGGTATGAATTGAAAAATAACATGGAATAATTAAACTAATAATTTAATCGGTTTAAGTTGTTCGAATTTGTATTGGGCTAAATTAATTTTAATTGAAAAGTTATTTTCCAATTCAGCCCAATTGTAATTAAGGAAATCCAACGTTGATTGAAACCGATTGAAATCTTAGACATAATAATTTTAAAATTAGGTTTCAATTCAGGCCAATTAAAATTGAGGAAATAAAAAGCCCATTAAAACCTATTGAAATATTACTTCAATAATTTCAAACAAATTTTCTTCATACCTTGTTCAAAAGTACTTATTTTTGTCCCTAATAGCAGGGGCGAAAGTTTAACATTTACTCCCTGTGCTTTATAGCCCTAATATTAGGGACAAAAGTACGCGTACTTTCGACCGAGGTAAACTTTCGTCCCTGCTTAAGTACTTTCGTCCCTGCTTAAGTACTTTCGACCGATGTATGAAGAAAAATAGTATACACCACACGGGCCAAGCGTTGAAATCTAGGTCAATTCAACTTTCGCCCTTTTTAGTGTAATATACTAATTTACAGTGTGACGTCAAATTATAACGTCACGTATTTTTTTACCCTATTTGAAATAGGCTATTTCATTCATATTATCTCCGCCTATGCCTTCTGAGAACCCTATTAAAAATGCCCTATAGAACCCATATTGATCCAGATAAGGAAACTAATCCCTATTAAAAATGCCCTATTGAACCCATATTGATCCAGATAAGGAAACTAATATGAATTTATATGGTTCTATATGTCCTATATGGAACGACCTGGTTTACACTTTGGAATCTATATGGTTTAATATGGAATTTCATTTTAAAATGTATATATATTTAAACGAAAATTGCATATTAAACCATATAGATTCCCCTATATGGTTAAATATGGATCTATATGATAATAATTTTTTCATACCCAAACCAGATAGAGCTTCAATATGGTTCAATCTGAACCTATATGCATATAGCCATGGCAATCCATATGGAAATCACTTTTCTATATGGTTTTCCATGTATGGAATTCTATCTGGTTCAATAGTGCAATGCCTGTTTCAAATTCCTATATTGAACCAGTTAGAACCATATAGATTTTTATTTTGTGTTTCTATATATAGAAATGCCATATATGGCATTTTTAATAGGGATATGTATTTATATGGTTCTATATGTCCTATATGGAACGACTTGGTTTACACTTTGTAATCTATATTGTTTAATATGGAATTTCATTTTAAAATGTACAACTTAGGGATTTTTATATGGATTTATCTGGTTTCTGTTTTATGTGTCTTTCCATATAGGTTTCCCTATATGGTTGAATATGGAATTCCATTTTAAAATTTATATATATTTAAACGAAAATTGCATATTAAACCATATAGATTCCCCTATATGATTAAATGTGGATCTATATGGTAATAATTTTTTCATACCCAAACCATATTAAGCCAGATAGAGCTCCAATATGGTTCAATCTGAACCTATATGGCAATCCATATAGAAATCACTTTTCTATATGGTTTTCCATGTATGGAATTCTATCTGGTTCAATAGTGCAATGCCTGTTTCAAATTCCTATATTGAACGAGATAGAACCATATATATTTTTATTTTGTGTTTCTATATGGCATTTTTAATAGGGAAAGCATCGGTCATTGATAGACTGTCATTTACATCACAATCCACACAACAAGGTCTGTTCTATCTCGTACTAAAAACACTAAACACTGCACAGAGTTTAACTTTTACAATTCTTGTGCTTGTGTTTGTGGTGTTTATACAGATTAATAATCGTTTTAGACCTAAGCCTTAAAAGAGGCCTTAATGTGGCCACCATTTAAATTTACTCCTCTTTTGTAAAAAATAACCTTATTCTATCAGGGCTGACATCAAACTGTCAAATGTTAATTTTAAGGTTAATTTCCCATAACCCACAAATTAAAGTTAAAATTTACATTTGACAGTGTGATAACAGCCCTGATGGAATAAGGTTTATTTTTAGAAAAGAGGAGTAAAATGATTGTTCTTAACACTTTAAGGCCTCTTTTAAGGATTACAAGTGCCTCTGTAACTTTAAAAACGATTGTTAATCTGTATAAACAGAGCACAAACCCAAATCACAAGAATTGTAAACAACAAAAATGGCCGCCGTTAAAATCTGTGATTTTTATTAAGTTAATATTTAGTTTTTGTTAGAAGATAAAATGGTACTTATATGTTATTTGAAGAAGGTCTTTTTGTACTTCGCTCAATTGCTTTGCAATCTTTTGAACTCAGCACAAAAAGACTCAATTCTCCTCCTATGACATAATCCATTATTATAATCTTACTGTCTCGTTTTTTTTAAGCACGCTACTATATCACCGAGGGTATTGTATATGTATAGACTATAAAAAAACTAAGTTTTTATACTCTGTCAAACATTGTCAAATCTTCTAACCAAATTTCTAAAAATGAAAGATCTGGAACCAAACAAATGGCGATACTACGGTCCCTTCGAAGTAGTAGTGCACAACTCTCCACGGGACTGTTGGGTGTCTTTTTTGGGTAAAGTATACAACATAACCCCACTAATAACGATATACAGTCGCGACCCATGTATAAAACCGCTTCTGGCGATGGCCGGCAAAGACATCAGCCACTGGTTCGACGAAAAAGCAGGAGACATCCAACATTATATTCACCCTGTAACCGGTAATTTTGTGCCATATTTACCGTATGGAAAAATCCCTGATATAGAACCTCAGGTACCTGATACAAGGTGGAGACCTGAGCATAATCCTTGGTGGAAGAATGACCTGTAAGAAGGAAATTAGAACATTTTTAAGTAACTAAAAGTATGATTCTAGATATCAAATAGGCTTACTAACAAAACGTGCAAGACCTCTAAGAATCATAAACATGTTAACCTGTAAAGAAGTTCAGATTAACGTTTGTTGCGAAGACACATTAATAAGAATAGCGGAAAGATATTCGATATTTAATAAAGATACAGACAGCTACCTTTGGAGGCAAGTAACCGGAAGCATATAGAAATATTATTCAATGTATATTCTTTGTTAGGTATGATGGTAAAGTGGTAAACATGTACAAAACCCTGGAGGAAAACGGAATTCTAGACGAAAGAGATCGATTTTGTGAGTTGGGAATTCCAGCGAACTTTTATATCCCCGCCATTCTCCTATACTTCACGGATGATTTTAACCACTTAGAGGACGATTTAGATGATGAGGATGAGTGCGAGATTTTCCAAAAATCAATAACCGTTGATTTGACTCCAAAAGAAATTTCAGCACCAGATTATTTGTCTACGATCGATATGGAAGTTGCGGAAGAAGGATATAAGGATGATGATAATGATTTGTTGTACTTTCGACAAGCGATTATGGACCTACCACCTATTCATGTCAGTTTTAAAAAAGTTTTAAAATAAAATTTCGTAATTATTATTTTTAGACGAATGTAATTAGAGAACTTTTACAAAGTACCACTGTAAGTATTTTTTATTAGATAATGTTTTTAATTAACTACCAATATCTAAAAACCAAAACCCTAAAATGTTTTTACCCTTATTTTACTAAAGACAGATAAACAACCGGAAATACCAGCAGAAATAGTAACAACTTATCTTCAAGAAATTGAAGAAATACCTAAAACAGAGCCATCAGAACATGAAGAAGAACTTACAGAAAAAACTGTAGATCAAACGGAATATTCCGGTGTGGCAACTCAGGATCAATCTGAAGCAGAAGCTGAAGAAAAAACAGATGTTGAAGAAGAAAACGCAACTGAAACTATAGATGAACCATCAGCTGTGCCCGAACCATCAGCTGTGTCCGAACCATCAGCTGTGCCTGAAGAAGTCGTCTCAGAACCAGCTGCAACTGTGGTTGAAGCTGAAGTTACAGTTGAAGCTCCTATTGAAGAAGCACTGGCTGCATCGGAAGCTGAAGCACCGGCTGCATCGGAAGCTGAAGCACCGGCTGCATCGGAAGATGAAGCACCACCTCAAGCTGAAGTACCTTTGGAAGCGGAAGAACATGATGAAGCTATTGCTGAAAGTCCAGAAGAAGTAGTATGAACCTAAAATCTTTTATGTATTTTATGTATTTATTATCAATGTTATTAAAATTGCTGGTGTTTCATTGTTATGTACCTTTATAGAGATATGAATAATTTACTTCGTAAATACATATGGTGAATATATGAAAATAGATGTATAAAAAACTCATTTGCAATTGTTCAGCAGAGCATGTAGAAAACAGCAGACAATTAACCAAGTGTAAAACACAGTGAACTTGTACAATCCCTTGTGTGGTGCAAGAATTCAACTTATCCTTAAACAAATTTAAAAAATCGAACAATTTCTTGCGGAACCTTTACAAAACATATGTTTACAAACATATGTTTTGTAAGTAATCACAATATAATAATACGAAAATCGCAGATATCGTATCATCGCTGATTAAAATTGTTATTTAAATAGTATAGGCCATATGGCAAAGGCGTTTGTATACATTTAATGTTAGTTAGCTATTATACCAGTAAAGCACAGGTGAAGTTATTGGACTGAAGAACCTGGTTGTTTAGTTTTACCCATTGTTATTGCTGTTGGGTATATTTAACGGTTAAAATTATTTTCTTCATTAAATTACAAAATTTATTAAGTTATTATTATAGGGTAACCATTAAACATTTTAAAGTGTTGGACATTAGTTGACATTATTCAACTGCAAGTTAATAAACCTAAGCTTGCGACACCATATTCCGGTAAATCCTGAAAAGCTGCCATCAACAAACATAATTAAAACCACAAACAGTGTTTTTGAAACTAGAACCTTTTGTGTTCTGTTCATATCAAACGGTATTTATTTATAGTTTTGACTGATAAGTCGCATGCTTACCAAATGTTAACATTTGGCTTCATACGAGTATATACAGTTTGTCACATACAACGAATCTGTTGTGCCTCTAGTTTTGTGTGAATCGTATTTTTATTTATACGGATGTGTAATTAAAAGACGAAAAATTTGAATTGATAACATTTCCGTACAGTGATTGATTGTCTGTGTTTATTCGGATTGAATGGTTTTGTTTTTGTGAGAGTATGTTTTAAAACATTTTAAAGGATAATAATATGTCTCTTTCGCTGTTTTTTAACATTTATAGGTAAGTGTTCATGAGAATGAAATTTAGGCAAAATATCTGATTAACCTTACTTTTTATACTTTAATTGTTGTATAAATGCAACCACCTTTAAAACACCCATTACCGTAAATGTTTCCATGACACAAAGGGACCTTTTAAATACACATTGACAAGTTGTGGATTTATGGCCATTTAGTCACGGGCTGAAGTTAGTTTTAAGTTAGTTAACAGTTGCCAAATGTCATACAATCGTTAAAATAAAGTGCCGTTCTTGTAAAATAATACTAAATGTAAAAATTATTTAATTATCTCAATACAAAAGTATTAAATAGTTTTGCCGACAGTAAACTTGATTTAACTTAATTTCGGGTAGAGACTCCACCGTGGAGTGCCTATAAAATATTTTCTTTACTTTCACTGTGAAAAACTGCTTCTATATCGGATTTAAGGGACTATTTTCAAGGGGTACATCTCGATTTACAGATAAAAATTTGACATTTTCACCGGCGCGCCGGTAATACAGATTTCCAAGTTTGTTACTCTTTTGTTTTATAGATGTCACTCTATAAAAATATTTAATTTAAATCATTTTTAGATAATAATAAGAAGTACAGCGTTGTATGAAATCTGTATGATTAATTACCTAAATAATATTATAATGTTTAATGTAAAATGTTAATGTTTAATGTGGTCGTATAGGAAATATGCAATTGTACAAAACAGTCATAAATAAATAAATTTAGATTACCTACGTAAAAAATGCTTAAGGTAAATAGAAATAATTTTATTTTGTTTAATTTATTACATCTTCCCACAAGGAAAATTTGTAAAAAATTATATATAAACGTTAAAAATAATATCAAATCAAATAAAAAAATATGTATACATAGGACTAATTAAGAGTGAGTAAAAACCACAAGTTATTAAATTAATATTTTATATTATTTTTATTGTGCTTATAAGCTTATTACATACAACAATATTTTATAATAAATTTTATAACGTGTAGTTTTTACTCACAATATTTAATTTTGACGGGCGGGACACAAATCCCTGAGTATCGTGGAATGACCCATACACTGTATACAGTGTGCAATTTTATTTAAATAAAAAAAGCATATTTTTCATAATATCCGTTAAATCATAAAATAACAAAAACAATGACAATGACATCTAACTAAGTCTTAAAAAATATATTTTTTTTTTTACCTAACACAACTAAATATATTTCACTTGCTTCAGTGTTTTTGTTAAAAAAGAAGTGAGATGCAAGAAACAGTTGTTTTATTTTGAATTGTTTAATCTGGAAGAAATATTAAAACAAATTAAAAGCAGTGGCGTGCCAGACGATATTCCAATAAACTACAACTCACTCAGTGTGTCTCACTGTGAGAAATTAAAAAAAAAATATAGGTATTGAAAATCACGTATTTAAAAAAGGCAATTCCAAAAATTAAAAATATTTTAATAAACCATCTATAAAATAAAAAATCTTGCTAAATCAAAAAAGGCAATTCAAAAAATTGAAAATATTAAAAAAAAGCATTACAAAATTAAAATATAATAAACATAAAAATAGACAAAAAGGTATTAAAATTGAAAACTAACATATTTTAAAAAATTAAAATCAATAATCTTGGATTTAAGTTTAAAAAATCAACTAGCTTGGACATTTTAAGGTAAATCGTAAGAATTTTTTTATGAGGTCTTAAACAAACGATAAATAAATGAAAACTAGATTCAAATTTATTATTTATTCGTAAACCATGTGTTGATAGTGTCTGAAAAGACGCAAACAATATTAAATAGAACCTCATAGGTAAAGACTGGCATTCTTTCAAAGGTCCCTTTTGAATGGTTGGTTCTCTTATCTAAGGCCTTCGACGGTATAGGAAGAAAGAACTCGGCAAGGCAACAACAACAAGAAGAGATATACATAGACGCTGGACAGCAGGCACCTGGCCAAAAGGAATTCGACGTGCACATGTTGTCAGTTTCGACAGTAGATTACTTTTCAGCAGATGTTGTATACGTAGTTTCGTTTCAAGCCCTCAAACTACCTTATCCGGCCGCAACCAAAAAAAGAATATTTGTGTTGTGTTTTGGGCAATTCACAAAGTACCTATAGAGAAAATCATACAGAAAGGCATATGAAAAGTTAAAAAATTAATTAATTACAAAAATAATACCAAAACAAGAAATATGGAAGTTTAATATATAAGGATTATTTTATAACTTATTTCATCTACTCCACCATTGATAAGCTGTAACTTTATGGCGTTTTAGTCACAGGCTGAAGTTAGCAACAGTAGCTTTTGGACATTTTAATCATGGGCTGAATTTAGCTTTATTATTAATTGGGAAAAAGTAAGGTAAAATTCATTGACAGTTGACAGATGTCAAATGTTTAACAAATTAAATTGGCTTTAAATTCTTCTTTTGGTTCATCGTAGATGAAGTATGGTATGCAACTCGTTTTATAAACTTCTCTAGACACTCGTTTTTATTAAACACTCGCTCGCAAGCTTCGATCGTGCCTAATAAAACTCGTAACTAAAATGGAGTTTATAAAATTTGATAAATAATATACTATTATCTACTTCCCCATTGATAAGTTGTGATATTATGGCGTTTTAGTCACGGGCTGAACTTAGCAACAGTTGCTTTTGGGTATTTTAGTCACGTGCTGAAGTTGGTTTTATTATAAATTGTGAAAAAGTGAGGTTAACTCCATTGACAGTTGACAGATGTCAAATGTTTAACAAATAAAATTGGCTTTAAATTCTTCTTTGTGTTCGTCATAGATAAAGTATAGCATGAAACTCGGTTTATAAACTTCTCCAGACACTCGTTTTTATTAAACACTCGCTCGCAAGCTTGATACATAATATACTATTATCTACTCCTATTGCATAATATTGGGTTTTTTGCATAAATAATAGGTAGGTACATTATACACAATGTGTATTACACATACATTACAAATGCCCTGTATAACAACGGGAATATAAACTTATTATTCACGTTGTTAGGAATCAGTAATTGGCCGATTTTAATATTCACTGTAATAATTATATATATATAATTATATAATAATCAAATTATTTGAACCAATCCGCCGATTGGTTTAAATTACAGTGAATATTAAAATCGGCCAATTACTGATTTTAGATTGGAAAAAGGCGACTATAATTATTAACCTTACTTTTTACCAATTTTAAATATTATTATAGTATAATAATATTTAAAATTGGTAAAAAGTAACGTTAACTATCTGAAACATAACAAATTTTATTTATTTATTTAATAATATTTTTATTAGTAGTGGATAAAGACTTTATCCACTACTAATAAAAATATTATTAAATAAATAAATAAAATTTGTTATGTTTCAGATAGTTAACGTTACTTTTTATCATAAAGTATAGTATTACACAGTGATTATTCGCATTATTCAATCGGATGATTTAAGTCTCTCGTCTGCCGACTCGAGACGCAAACCTCATCCTCGTGAGCCTGCATTATCTTTCGTATAATAATATACTATAATAACTAAGCTTTTAAGATAAATAATCTTTGTACTTTCTTCTCATGGGGAAATGATTTTTTATCACAATTATTAGTTTTTTTAAATTTTGCACTTTTGCAAATAAATATCTTTAATTTTTCTCCTAATTATTTACCCCCAGAATAGTATAATAGCAAAATAAACAAAAAATAAATAATACATACCTACCTCCTTTATAGTTTCTATTATTTCTTTGGAAGTTAAAAAGTTATCCTAATTATAGTAATCATGGTGAGTGTAATCTTGTTATAAAAATCAAAAATTAAAAAAAATATCACTTTAAGCAGTAGCGGCTGGTGGATTTTGGCACCCATATCTCAGTTATTAGACATGGGACCCACATCAAATTTATATGAGTTTATAATGA